GCGAGACCTGTATGGAGGCGCCGCGCGCGAAAGCGAGATCTGTATTGACGCGCGCGAAAGCGAGATCTGTATGGAAAAATGTGAAGACGAGTGAGAGCGAGACCTGTATGGAGGATGTGAAGGCGAGACCTGTATGGAGGCGCCGCGCGCGAAAGCGAGATCTGTATTGACGCGCGCGAAAGCGAGACCTGTATGGAGGATGCAAAGGCGGGACCTGTGTGAGTGTGACTGCGCGCGAAAGCGAGATCTGTATGAACGCGTGAGAGAGGGAGACCTGTATGGAGGATGTGAAAGCGAGATCTGTATGGAAAAATGTGAAGACGAGCGAGAGCGACGAGAGACCTGTATGGACGCATGTGAAGGCGGGACCTGTGTGGTCGCGCGCGAAAGCGAGACCTGTATTGACGCGCGCGAAAGCGAGACCTGTGTGGAGGTATGCGGAGGCGGGACCTGTATGGTCGCGCGCGAAAGCGGGACCTATATGGATGTGCAATTAGAGTTCAGGGGTGGATAGAGAGGTAGGATTCGGAGACCATACGGGCTGGTGCGACTTGTTAGGCTGCGTATCTAGATTGCGTGAGTGAGTTTTAGTAGAATTTCGCATGAGGGAAACTTGCGCATGCAAGTGAGACCTGCGTGATTACACGTGTGACGGAGACTACATGGTCGCACGCGTAAGCGAGATCTGTATGGACGTGCAGTTAAAGCTCAAGAGTGGATGGAGAGATAAGATTCGGAGAACAGACCATAACGACTGGTGGGATATGTTAGACTGCGCGAACGGTACTTGTTAGCTTGTGTGTGGCTTGTGTGATCGTACGTGTTAAGGAGACCTGAGTGGTCGTGTGGACAGGTGGCGCAGAAAAACGAGACCTATGATTTTGCATGCAAGCGAGACCTGTACGGTCGTTCAAGCGGTTAAGTTAGGGATGGAGGCGGATGCTTAGAGAAGTAAGCATCGAAATCGGGTATGACGACGTTGTTACGTCGTCCGGTTGTTACTTGAAAGGTTGCATAAATGGTTGCATGTGCAAGTAGGACTTTGTAAGGTCATTATAATAATGAATGAGAATAAATGTTTGGTAGATTTCGAGTGAAGGTTTGTACGATTGCGAAAATGGTTCTTGTAAGGTCTTGCGTGGAAGCATAACTTCTAAGGTCGTTCAGATTGACGCAAGTAAAGGTTGAGAGCGGATAAAGATGTAGGCTTGCAGTGAATAGATCATAGAGACTGACGGAGCATATGTTGTCGTTTGCAATCAAAATCACAACTAACACGATTAACCAACATTTCAAATCTGCCGACCCTATTTGTGGGTGTTTTCGGAGAGGTTTAGAGACAAATTGCCGTCGTGGTGTTGTAGGGTGTCGTTAAATCGAGATGACGGAACAGCGGTAAATTGCGAAATAATAATGTAAATATTCAGAGTATTATGTCAGCTATTCCCAATAGCTCAGCCGATTTCCAGGATCCAGCATTCTGGAAGAAGTTTTACAAGAATTCCGACAGTGTTTTCGAATGGTAAGATTATTAGTAGTGTTGCTTTATTCGCTTCATGTATTTTCTTGTCCACGGCACATTTTGATGTTATTTGAAATTTGTATGATATGTATAATTCTTCAGGTATGGTGATTTCAAGACTTTTGGACGCGTTTTGACCAAATATATAAAATCGACTGATAAAATTTTGCAAATTGGATGCGGCAATTCGGAATTAGCTAGCCAGGTATGTTTGTAGCTGTTAGATTTATGATTTTATTTCAGATTTTACTTATGGTATTTGTTGTTTACAGGAACGTTTTAATAGGCGGTAAATGAGGAACAGGTTGAATTAGAAGTGCAGAGGTTAATTGTCTGCCTTTTAAAACGACTATTTTTTGATAAAGAAATGATAAACTTTTATGATGGTAACATAGTAAAATCGTTATATGTTTTCATCGCATTATATTATATGGTTTAAATTTTGATAATCTGCATGTTGCTCTCAGTTTCTTGGCATTTATTTTCTGTAACAGAGGGGATCTTATTTTGTGAAACTGAAATATAAATAGTGCATTTCTAGCTGAAACATATACTTTCTTCACTCATATCTCTCGATTTTTATGTTTTATAGCTTTACGATAATGGCTATCGATTAGTTGATAGTATCGATACCGATGAAGGAGTCATTCAGAAACAACTTGCCAAAAATAGTTCATCCAGACCGGAATTGCAGTTTGTATGTTGTTCCGCAGCAAAAGTAACGTTTTCCGCTTCAGTTAATTACACTTTGTAGGAACAGTTTCCAACCCACATCGATTATAACTCATAGAAATTTACCTAAACGATAATTAAATCATAACTTAAGTTTTCGGATTTTTGTCGAGTATTTTAATTTAATTGCAATGAAACTTGATCAGTCATTTAGTCATTTATGCCGTTTGTTTTTAATTTTTTCACTTCAAAGTTTTTTGAAGATTGACGCGCCGAACGAAAAGTACAACGTTGTCCTAGACAAAGCAACGCTCGATGCGTTAATACCATCCACATGTCAGGACAAGCTGGAAGACGTGGAAAAAATGTTTTCAGAGATATGCCGGGTACTTACGATTGCAGGTCGATACATTGTCTTTACTCTTGCTCACAAATACGTGCTCAATTCATATATGCCATTTTTTCTGAAACGGTTTGTTTCACGCATTCATATGTTGGGAGGAAAATTTTATTAAGTTTAGAAGTGGAACAGAATCTGACAAGGAAACGGTCTAATCTTGATCTTATTTGAAATGTAAACTTTAAATTTCGTGGAGGACCATTTTCCTATATTCTCTCGGTCTAAACATTGATTTGTACGAGAACTTAATGGTGGCCTAGGCGTGAGCGGGATTTTAGCTAAGATTAATCACTATAATGTCACATTTTTTGTGTGCAAACGCGAATACTGCAAATTTATAGGAAGAATTTCATTATACGGGTTGAAAGGAACATTGATAGCAATTGGAAGTTTCCTTTACCAGTGTTTTTACTTATCGCGACGAAACTTCGTATTCCCCTTCCTTCACCAGTAAATTTTTTATGTAATTTTGCTTTTGATAAAATCTTGAGTGGTTAATACCAATTTAATACTAGACTTTTGAGTGTTAACTGTAATTAAAAGATTTTTTTCTGACATTTCTCTTTCTTCTGATAACCTAAGCGAACAGCGAAATTTTCTATCTTTTATATATGCTTTCGTCGTATGAAGTGTACGGTTGCTTCTCAAACAGCGACGTGTAATTCGGTTATCCATTTAGTTGCACTCCTGGTATAACGATAGTAATTGATGAAAATATGCTTGGAGCAATTTTATTAAAAGTAATGTAAGATAAAGTTTTAGTGTTGATGGCATGATAAATATTAATCTATATATTTGTAGTACATGGAGTTGATAATTTCAACGGAAAAGAAAGCAATTAAATTCTCATGTTTGGAAAACTTGATCAGTGCAATAAATGCTGAACAGGAATTCTCGCAATTTCGCCATCTCTGTTGCAAGTATGAATTATTCGGCATAAAAATTCTATATATAGTTTTAAATAGCGAACGTTTTAATGATTTTTCAACTAAATGTGGGGAAGAGATTTTGCATTTTCAGATTTTGGTTCTTACAGAAATAAAATTTGCTATGAATTATAATGCGTACGAATGATCATAATGCACGTAATGAATGTTTTCCAATTTTGCTGAAATAATATAGTTCTGAAAACCTTTCAGTAAGTTGGAAGACGAAGTGACTCTGATACTGCATGATAATGACGAAAAGCCACGATATCACATAGCAGTTCTTGACGACACAGAAGCTGATGTATTAAATTCCTATGCTGTCTTCATCGTTCCGGTTGGCAGGTTGTTTCCGTTCTTGTCGAGTTATTGTAGTTCTAGATGTCATTTCAATGCATTCTAAGAATTAAATCTCAAAACTTTAGAGATCATGACTGGTTTTTCGCTACTGAAAGAGGACGCGCGTCATTACGCAAACAATGCTGTAAGGATCGGTTGGCAATTGTTACACTTTATCGTGAGCAAAAATATGAAAATATGGAGCAGGTCAAAGATGAATTGGGTCCATATGTAATTCAACTTACTCCAGCATCTCTACTTCAAACAGAGGTTTTGTAATCATTACACCTTATTTTTGATTACTAAATTTTATATTTTCGATTAAGCATAAAATGTTCCATTTCAGCGTAAGTCAGTGGTTGAGTTTCTTTCACTCGGCAAAATTGATGTTAAGGAAACACGTGCTACCGGACATTCCGATATCAATGGGCCGTGGGCAGTGGAAGATGTTCGTATACAAGCTGCTATGTACAGAAGACTTGTCTTTTTGTCTACCCAAAATCTAGTACAGACTGAAGCCAAATTGATTCGTGAGTTTTATTTTAAAAATAGGATGAAAATATCACGAATATTTTTCTGCAATAAAATATAAACAATTGTGGACCTTAAGTAAGGAATATTCATGATGTTGGCTGTCTTTTAATTTGAGAATAATACAATTTCGGGATCTTTTAGTTTCATATTTAAGTATGGTGAGGTATACGCTCCGGAAGTTGTTTTTTTCTTCACATAGATGGATTCATTCAACAGTTATTTACTCACCTTAATGGTAAGCAAGAAACTTGTTTCAAGGAGAAAGTTGCATGTGCAAGGCAAAAGTGCTTAATATTTTGCAAATTTTCAGAGCTAGTTTACTGAAACGTTAATTTCTAATTTTTTGAGTAATTTGGTTTTATTAATAAAATTGTTTTACAGGGAATAAAAAAGGTTGCGAAATTGTGGATTTGCATGCATTAACCTCGGAATATCACGAAGCGATGCTGGCGGCACTACCTCTCATGTTATGTCCTGGTGAAAAATTGAGCCAGTCAACGGAATCACGGTACTTTTCCCTCATGCTGTTGTTCATTCGCTATACTTCCTTTAACTTGTATACTTAGAACATTTATTTCATAATGAAATGAACCAGGCAATATTAATAATGCCATTTCAGATTACTTGTTCTTGGATTAGGTGGTGGTGTTCTGCCTTCCTTCTTGCACCTCAAATTTCCATCAGTAAGTCAAACTGTTATGTTTTTATTGTAAGTCAAACTTAGAATAAATTTGAAGTTGTGTCTGAATTTAAATTGACGATTGCCACAAAAAATAGGATGGTGAATTTGACATAACATAAATTAAATATTTCCGTGTATGTTTCAGATGTTTATCGTAGCTGTAGAATTAGATCCGAAGATTGCAGAAATTGCAAAAGATTGGTTTTCTTTCAATAGTAATCCGCGTTTGGTTGTTGTGATCAAGGATGCTCTCACATATATTGAAGAACTGGTGCAAAAAAAAGGTAGAGTAGATAGTCACTCAAATTTAAATCAAATGATTTCAGATGTTCAACAAATAATCAATTTTGGACAACAGCCTTAATTTTAGAATCATGCTGATATTTTCATAAATTTTGACACATCAAAGTTTCAGATGAATCACTTCTGTTTGATGTTATATTCATTGATGTAGCTGGAAGTATGCAGGAAGATGGACTGAGCTGTCCATTACCGTCGCTTGTAACGGAAAAAGCTCTGGAAAATATGTATGCTGCACTTCGTGAAAGAGGTAAAGCATTTCATTACTTTTTCATAGTTTGGAAAAAGTTTCATATATGCCGTGAATATTATTTAATTCATTTTCAAATTTTACTTCAACTGAATTATCATTCATGTTGGTAATACATTGTAATTATTTTTAACTTTTCTATCGAAATAATGCATGTTTAGAGCGCCTTTTATTAGTGTATATTTCACATGAAGTCTATTTATCAGTGAGAAAAAAATTTGGTATGGCAGTGGTATTTGAAATATCATTATGTACTACATTAATCTTATTTTGTTTATCGCTGGACGTTTAGTTGATAGGAATGCACAAACTGAAATAACACAAAAATAAGCTCAGTAATATATATACCTGAGCGGTAAATACAAGAGACCAACAACATACAGTAACAATATGTAAATCGAAAGAAGTAAAATATTGAATTAGATAAAAGGAAATATTATACTTCATAGGAATGTATTACATTTCATATCATTTTATTTGTTTACACTTATTCATATGTTCTTGTATTGGTTAATTTTAAAATCGAAATTAGAGTTAATATCTATATCGATATGATTTAAATATACAAAGAATCAATTCGGTTCATGGTTATCTTCTATGGAACTTAATGTTCTGAATAAGCAAATGATACCTAGTAGATCACAAAATATAATAATTTGTTTTGTGATATATAGAAAACTGTTTTCCTTTTAATTTGGTTCTTTAAATTCGTTTGATTATTACTGTTTGCTCGATTTTCAGGAGTACTGGCTCTAAACTTGGTAACTCGAAATGAGGATATTGCTGAACAAATTAAAAGTCGTATTTTATCGATCTTTTCTCATTATTATAGCCATTGCAGTAAAGAGGATATAAATCAGGTATTTCTGTTTTTTTTGAGATGCTTATTAGGGAAACAAAATTTTATGGCAACTGGTGGTAACGTCGTATTCGATGGCTGAGTTCTTATTCCAATTCCGTAATTTAATTTTTATGATGTGTGAAATAGAGATCATAGAATTTTGTTCATAATTACTCAGTTATTTCAAATTTTTATAAATTTTAGGTTTCTTTAGAGATGTCATAGAAATGAGTAAAGGTGCCCGATTCTGGTTCTTTTTTATACTCACAATGTCACATGTACTATTTCAATAAAATAAAGTTGAAAATTGTATTCAAGGCGTTTATCTATTTGTTTATTCTTTTACAGGTTTTGATTTGTCCAAAAATGCGAAAGGGCTTATATGAATCTCGAAAGGCTTGCGAAAATTACAAAAAAGAGAAAGGTACAATGCGAAATTTATTATCAAATCTTTCGACGTTGAAATTTTATAGTAAACGAGGCAACTGATAGACGTTTTAAAACGGATTTAAAATGTGTTTTGAATGTTTTCCAGTTGTTACTATTACGCTTTAAATGAGGGATGGACTTTTTTATATTTTTTCTTTTTTGCTTTATGTTTCTCCAAGAAATTGAAGGTTGATTGGGAACTGAATAAAACTGAAAACTGATGTGGTTTAGGGCTTTTTCTTTTAGTAGAAGCGTAAAAAGAGGAAAAAATTTATGATTTTATGTGACACAGGTTCCATTTCATAATCTTCGTTCCCAAGCACTTCCCTTCACATTTTAAAACTAGCGGCTGATTCAGTAATATTTTACACTTTTATTGTATCTGTAATTGCTTTTCCCATGTTCATTTCAATACACCTTTTGACGAATTCTCACAAAAACTGGAACACTATGCGCGTATTAAATATATCTCCCTTTTATTAGTTCATCTGTTTGTATATTTTTGTTCGTTTTACATCTATATCAAATTAAGAGAGTTGTACCTGGATAGTTAATCAAATTTACCAGTCTAATGTTTACTTATAACATACATCTTAATCGCTTATTAATTCTGGAAATCATCACTTTTGATCTCTTTCTTTCCCCCACGTTGTCCCTCGCTTGCTTAAAATCAACGTTAGCGTAATTTTTAGATTTGAAATTTGGAAATTTCTGTAACTCATACTGAGTAAAAGAATTGCTTTTTGAACCGTTACTTTCCACCACCCCTGTTTTCATGTGGTCCAGCTCTTTTGGGAAACCATATGGAAGGATTACATCAGATGAAAAAAAGTGCAGTTTTTTGAAAAAAAATTTGCAAAACTTGTATACATTGCAAATTTGTATAAATGAGGAAAATAAGTGCACATTATGATGGGAGTTCGTTTTTTTCTCGTTTGGAAAAGAATTTCGATTTTTAAATAGGGAACTAATTTCAGTAAATGTCTTTACCGTGCTGGTACGATATAGAGTTGTAAAAAGCTGTGTGCATAAGAGAGGCTGTAGTACCAGTTGAAGTTGAAACGATTCCATCTATTCTCCGGTTTAGTTGATTCAGAATTTGCATTTTGAAGAGGGGAGGTATACGGATCTTACCATTAGCAGTAACATTGAACTTACCAGTAGGTGTAGATCGGATTTGCGTTGAATGATCTCCTATGAAGCAATATGATGAAGGATTAGCTTAATTTTTTTTTCAAGCAGGGTTTCAACCTTCACTTGGCATTGTTTTTGGAGTTAATGTTTTCCGGAAATATAAATTTTTTTGCTGTCTAGAATTATTGTTTGTTGCATTCTCATTAATTGTTTTTTCGCGTAAACTTTAACACATCCCTCAGTTATTGCACATTTACATGGTAATTGGGATGAATTAGCTGTAGATTTATCATTTTAGGAAGGCTTTTTTTTCATTTTTAGTTATTCACATCATCATTAGGTTAAAAATGGCGAAATTGGAGACAGACTTCATTTCAGGTTTCTAATACAGTCTGATGTATGTTTTACGACAGTAACTTGTTTGTTCCCACAAAAACGGATAAAACTTTATGATACCCGGAGTTGATAGGATACTGTGCAACATAATTGCCGTTTAGAAGATGATCAGAGTTTCGAATATACCAATAGCGGTGTTTTGCTTAATGAAATTAAGCGAGTAGTTTATAGTAAGTTAAGGGAACAGTGCAACATAGCTATAAACATCTTATATTTCTTTCCTCATTCTGAAAAGTAAATAATAAAAATATTTCTGTTTTACTGCGTTGCATATTCATCATGACGCTGCAACAATTTTTCTGAATATTACATATTACTGTTACTGATATTTTATCAGTGTTAATCTCTTTCCACGGGACATTGATAGTAAATGATTATATCGCTGTTGGATATTTTTCTTTTTTTTTTAATTTTGGGAATATGGGAATGGACTTATGAAGCATTGCCGTGAGGTTATAATTTAGTTAAGCATGAAATGAGGACCGGTCCAATATAAAATGGTACCGTTTATTTTTCAAAATTTTCGATATTTGCAAATGCTGCCATGGAATTGGATTTTGCGTAATGAATTGGATGAATGATAAATTGAAAACTTTATCAAACAATAAACATATCGCCTATTGCTGTAATATTTAATGATGAATGATATTAAATTAAAAATTTTTAAATTTGAAATTCTTTTGCAATTTTTTTCCTTCCTTTTCTTGAAATAAAAATATAACAAAAAAGATAATGTGTTAATGTTGGTATCATTTATTTTTAATTTTTTTTACAATTGCTGTATTCAGCAAAATGTTACCAAACAAAACTGCTGAAAATTTTACATTTCATTTTAGTGACTGTTTATTATCCTTATCAAATGATTTTAATTCTACTCTTTCAGTCTGACAAAAAAATTGTCCCATTCATTTTTGATGATATATTTGCATAATGTATGGTAGAATAAATGTTGAAATTTCATAATATTCCATTAGGAATTTCTTTATAACAAACTTATTAATATTAATTTGAGATTTCATTTCATTCAAAAATTTATTGCATGGAT